TGAGCATGGAGTCTTACGGTATGGAACACCCTTGTGGTGAGTTGAAGTCAACTGTCTCAGCTGCCTCCAACCTCTTGCCCACCTTCAGCTTACTGGCCTTTGTGGGGTGGAGAACAGTGAGATGGAGGGTGGTTTGAGAGAAAGCCATGATTTTGTGCAAAGAATACTCACTAGCAAAAACATCAGCACTTTATCAATACTTTTCAAGCCACAAATGCAAAGCATAGAACTATAAAAGCTGTTATAAGGAAAGTTAACTCCATTCCAGCCAGAACCAGTACATCTGTCACGCAAAACAACTCTAATTTCTTTGCCAAGTATTGCAATGTAATAAAGATGTTTTATTATTTGCATTTATTGTTAGTGTCTTTAAAAGGCCATTAAAAATAACAGTCCAAATGTTTCTGTGGTTTGTGGGATCTATATGTGTCAGTATTAAAGTGAGTCATACAATCACAGTCAAGATAGGTTATCAGCATTTTACTCTAAGCCAAAAAGTGTGATTTGTTTGAACTATTTTCTATTCTCCACTTTGGTAGCAGCTCCATCCTATGAGGTTATTATGAATGTTAATATATAACTTTCACAAGGCAGAACTCCACCTTTGTCATGCACTGTATTTCATTTCAAAATTGGTTTTACTCCGAACTCTAGACAAATATCCAAGCTGTGTAAAACATATTCTTGGTAATTACATGTCACATTGATCTTGGTGAGTCAAATATTAAACCATTTCCTGAAGATATCCATTTGGAGCATGTGTATCTCAAACCACTTTGGCAATTCCACAATTTCATAATGTATGTGGTTTTAGTTTATAGTAGAAATTAAAGGAAATACTATATTGTTTTCAGGGGATGCCTAGCTGTGTATTGGTATGTGATTGCATCCTCTCGTGTAGAGGAAGGGCAGCTCTTACCTTCTTTAATGCTTCTGATACTACTAGGATAGTGGTGTTATTGCCCGGTTTAGCAGCTAATTCCAGCTTGTCACCATTCTTTTTTTTTTTTTTTTTCTTTTTCTTGCATACCTTACTAATGCTTTCTGCAACTGTAGCCCAAAAACTACACTACTGACATGGATGGTTCAGGCCTCTGGAATGAATCTTGTTAGTCTTTGTCTGGACTTGTTTTGATCTACTTAAAGTTCTTTTTGGTTTTGCATATATGCCAATAACAAGTGAGGTTCTTTTCTGCATATAACAAACTTTTATGGTCTTTTCTTAATAAAGTGGGTAGAGGAGTATCACCACAATATGATAACAGAAGCTTGAAAGTGGAAATGGAGTGCAGTGCAGAGGAATGAGTGCATGGCATGGTAAGAAAACTAGCACATGGTGACACTGAAAACCCCAGGACTATGCGCAGCTCATCTATGATAATTTACTGCCAATTAAAGAGAAGTAGGGATGGGATCTGAACAATAGAGATTGTAGGGTGTCAAAGAAGTATCCATCCATGTAAGACATTCCAGATACGGTTTATTTAGGTGTGAAGTGGAATTGCAGCAATCAAGAAAATGCAAATTGTAAAAAATGGTAAGATATAAACATTTAAAATAGCTCCAGATGGATCCTAGAAGTAGGAAGAAGAAATCATCCTCATGCCACCAAAGAGGAGAAAGAAACCCCTGTCATCAACATCAAATCTTCCCCTCCTAAGGACGTGGGATGCTGAGAGCTTGCTGTCAGGCTCCTTCTGCGCCCACAGTTGAATATAACATAACAACCTTAGAACCCGGAAGGGTAGTGGAAGGGTAAGCCTTAACAGTGAGGAACGGCTAGATACTAGGAATTGCCTGTACCACAGTTTTAACTCTATTAAGATGTTTTTCTCTAATGGTATTTGGTTTTCTTTTGCCTGTAATGACTAGATTTGAATCCTTTGGTTAGATGGTTAGGATATTAATTACACTAGCAATAAATTCTGGACTTAGCTCATTACGAGCATTTCCTTTTGCCCAAAAAAGTTTCTAATATATAACATTTCACTGTTATATAAGAATATTTGTTGTACCAAATAAAAAATAACTCCAATTACTCTTTACATATAATGGCATGGTTAAGAAGGACGTGAAATAACATTTCTCTGACAATTTCAATATTTTTCTGTCATGTTTCGATAGCATTTGCAGCACTGACTTCCAAACAAAAGTTTGAGTTTATGAATTCAAGGCCAGCTGGACAGAGACTTTGGCGACACGGTCTAGTGTGAGGCATCCCTGCCCATGGCAGGGGGGTTGGAACTGGATGATCTTAAGGTCCTTTCCAACCCAAGCCACTCTATTATTCTTTGAATTCCCAGTGATAGTGGTTGGTTGCACATTTCTTATCATGTGAACAAAAGAAAAAACACTTGTAACTAAAATCTTTGTGTATTCAAAGGCTTTCTGGGAACTCGCTGCACCAAAGTTACATCTTGAGGGATGTAGCGGCACAGCTAGCAATGGCATTTAATGAATTAGTGGGTATAGGAAGCAGAATATAGCTACATTATACAGGGCTAACCCAGCTGAACATCCTGCTCATTAATTTACTGCAAGCTGCATATATCTGTTAGGTACTAATAAATTGAACACCAGACCTAGCTTCCTTTTACTGTAGGGGGTAAAGACACATTTCAATCTTTGGAGCACAGTTTAGGAAGGGAAGTAATGCACTGGTTGAAAACATTACTATTTAAGACTGTGTAGACAAACATTTTTCATTCTGTGCCCACAACTACTCACTAAAGGTTTAGTGAGTATCCTAATTAGAAAGGTAACAGTCTTCAGTGAAATCCACTGAATCCTCAGGGTTTATTCTGTCAAGAAATGGAATAACATGGATCAATCTTTATGATTCCAGAAAATCAAATCCTGAACCTGATGCTTCTGATATGTCCAGACTGAAATTAGCTACCCGGTTTTTCTCATTTTTAAATCGTGCAGGGAAAAATATATGTGATGTAACTGGTACTGATACTGACCTATGTGATACTACAGCGTGACAACAATTTTCGTATATATATTATACCGACACATATATACCTGAGGAAGAAAAAAAACCAACAAAACCCCAAAATTTTTATTTTGGTTTTAAGGCAGAAATATATTGACTGACAAAATAATAACAAGCATAATTAAAGCCACTTCTCTTAACTTACCAGTGGGCCAGTCTGTTTTCATCACTAATTGCACTGCATATATACAATATAATGTACATATTATACTTAATTGTGTTACTTTTTTTCTCATGAATTATCACTGGATCAGGTTGTTTTCTGTTTAACACCTGTAATAGAATATATTATCAAACTCTAACATGAAGCTGGCATTCTACCAAGTTCAACATACTTGTATAGAAGGAAATTTAGTTATGAAACTAAAAAGAATTTCCTTAGAGTCCATGCAGCTATTACAACAGTTTAGGGTAGCATGAGTTTGAGTGGTATAGGTATGCCCATGAGAAAACAGATTCAGGCTGTGAGATTTTATATTGAAGACTATTGCATAGATAATTTTTTTTTTCAATTTTGAATTTCTTGCCACAATTTTGAAACTTCCTACCAGCAAAATATTTTATTTCATCCTTAAGAAATGTTATGAAAAGAACATGTTGGAGACCCTGGCTTGTCTTCGTGGGCCAATTATATCTCTTTGGTCATGTAACTGGAGTTACTGAGAAGCTCCTATTGCTCTGGAGAGCAAGGGAAATACTCAATGTCTGTTTAATGGTCTAATGGAGACTGTCATTTTACTTCTGACTGTTTAAGGAGTCTTGTTCACTAACAAGCCACATGCGTAGCTGTTGCACAGAAGCTGTTGGTTTTCTGCTGTGCAGTTGGCAGACTCTGGGGAGGCACTGCAGAATCCATAGCACTATGTACCAGACAATTATTATATGGCATGCTGCTACAGGCTCCTCGGATTCATCACAAGGTAATTTGTGTTAATGAATGTCAGAATTGTAGATGCTCTGCTGCTGAGCATTTTAGACCACATGTAGAGAATTCCAACAACTGGCATGCATTTATCTCCCTTGTCAACTAACAGTGTTATATTCTAAGCTATACTTAATACTTTTTTCTTACATTCATGCATAGGTGTGAACCACACACTGCATTTAATCAGAAATATAACTAACGGGGAGGGCATCAAATTCTACTCTATGTACCATTTCCTAATATGTTTGACTCAATTAATTTGCCAAGAATAATAATTTGATAAAAATAATCAATATTGTTTGGACACCTTGTCTACAGACTAATTGCAAATCAGTAACTGTCCCTTTCTAACACTTCTCTGGTGTGCCATTGAAGGGTTTGCCCACCTTGCTCTATATAAAGAAATCCTTCAATATAGAGGAATTTGTTAACTATTGAGTTTGTAAAGGTGTTTTTCCTCGCAGGTTTTAGTCAAAATCTATCTTCTATGTCAATAACTTTCACTCGGCGGTCTTCAAGGGTTCATGAACTAGCTCTCATGGATACATGAAATGCAATTTTAAAAAATAAGCCTGTGTGCCTGAGACTTGGCTTTGCGATACAGCATCTGTACCATCACTGACTAGTTCACTTTGCAGACTTAATCCTCCCCCCCTCCAGCTTGCTGCAAAGGTATGTAGATATGAGCTTTCCCACTCTCCAAAAGTTCAAATAATGGAGATAATGAAGTATGTATTTAGTAGGCATTCTAAATTACAAAGGGGTTACTAATTAGCAACTTGAGATATCAGTGTAAAAGAACTACAGTAGAGTTGCCCAATACTAAAAGCAGGAAGTTGTTATTTTCCTTTATACCTTAATATATTCTGTAGCAGTGACAAAGAAATTATTTCTAATAGGTTCTCCATAAACACATACTAGAAGATATTTTCTGAAGAATGCTCCCCTTAACTGTGTAGTATATGTTAATGCTGCCGTTTCAAATTTGCTCTACATAGTCTGCAAACATCTGTATATTGCAAGTATATGGTCTAGTTCCAGACTGAATGATATTATATTATTTCAATTTTACAGAAGGAGACCACACAAAGGATGATTAAGTGACTTGCCAAAAATTCACACTACAGAACAGCAAACTGAACTGCAATGGTAAGTTCTGTAAGTGCTAACTTTATAAAACATGCTGTAAGTGTCCATCATCAAGTGCACCTGAAAAGCCTGAGCATTCATGATGATTGATTGCATTAAACCCTGCCTGCTGTGGTCACAGTGGAGTTCTCTGATTTATATCACTTTAGGACCTGCTCTGAGTTCTAGAAAGTGTTTAGTAGAAGCATCAGTTTATGAACATCATTTTTTCTGGAGAAAAGCATTGTGAAAGTACTTCACAAAATTATTTATCTATTTCTGAATAGTGGAGTGAGGTAAGATTTTCAACTTCATATTTGGAGGAATATGCCAGAAATTTCAGGTCTATGGAATAGAAAAGTCTGGTTTCTGAACTCATTTCATTATGATTTTTCAAAAAGGTAATGCTAATTCAATCAAAATATTCTATTTCAATAATACTGGTAATTTTTTACTATTATTTTTCATGTACATTCTTTGTAAAGGAGATGCTATTGAATTAAAATTATGTTAAGACAAAAGTCTTAATGCCTCCTAATGATGTCAAAAGACAAATATGTTTTTACTGAACTAGAGTTGTCAAAATCAGTACATTTTTACATTTTTATAGAATGTTTTTATTTTGGTGAAATGATGTCTTCTGACAAGAAAATATTCCTTTTGACCAGCTTGGCTTGCTTCACAGTGTACCTACTGTGAAGCCAAGACATTAAGGAGTACTTTCAGACTTTTCTTAGTATTTGACATAGCAAATATAAGTTATTAAATGCTAAGGCAAAGCTAAAGCTTGTTCTGTAGAGGCATTGCCCAATTGATATAATTATTGTGTTTTCAGTGCTGCTAGCTTTGATAGCTTCTGAGACTGCTTCTCAGCCTCTGTTCTTGCTGTCATGCATAACACCAGCAGATGTAGTGTTAGTGCCATAGGCACAGGCCAGATAATCCTGAATTTGGAAAGCAACGAATGTCATGTATTTATTTTACAGCCTAACATAATGTGGCCTGTTTGGGGAGCCAAAAATATGCAATTACATCTTTTCTGTTGATGTCTTACAATAAAGTTGTCAGCCAGATGACAGCAGTGAGGTAAGGGAGGCAGGATGCTGTGCAGAACGTATGTGTGCTGTAGTGACAACCCACAACATAACCTACAGATGCAGCACAAAGGAGCACTAAAAAACTCTACAAAGAAAACATGTGAAGTCAGTGATATTAATGCATAATTGAAAAATTAACAATAACTTTATGCATCCTGTCAATGTTCCAGCAGCATAAAAAAGGCAAAGAATTGCCTGAAGACAAAGAGCGGGAGAATCTTTTTCCATTTAGAGGAATTCCAAGCTGGCACCAGTGGATGTGAATTCAAAAAAACTTTGGAGGATGTTTTGAAATACCAAGCTATGTATTTTCTGGCTGAAGGTATTGTCTCATTGAGCCTTGCCACCTTCTCCTTAGTCTTTATCAGCACATTTTTGTCCTTGCCAGCACATTTTTGTCCTTTGTCTTCCATATATCATATAATATATCATTCCTTTCCTGTTTCTCAGCCTTCTTCCCCATCCCCTTCCTATGTTTCCAGTTTTCTCTCACAAGGCCAGTCCCATCACCCCACTGCTCACCTGCTGTTTTGTGTACTTCACATTTAAAAGATTAACCAAAATATCTAAGGTGATTGACCTATACTGAACTGCTCTATTCCTTGTGTCTTACAGATTCATACATAGCTAGTTAAAAGACTCTTAACAGGCTACTTTCAAGTCAAGACCATATTTAAACTGGTGCAGAAATCTTACTTTCGCAGCCCACATCTTGACATCTTGGATCTTCTCTTGGCATTAAGGATAAATTTAAATAACTATTTTTAGGGAATATTTTTGGTTCTTTATGCTTCCAATCATAGGTTTGATTCTTGAATTGAATAAAATTGGGTAGCATAGTGATATCACATAAGTGATAGAGAGAGAGCTGTTGAGTGAATGACATCATGATTCTATACCTTACCTTAACTTAAAATACGTTGAACACTTGATGACAATGTTGACAATGGTAACGACTCATTAGCAGTAGCCTTGTTAGTTGCCTCAGGGATATTTTGCAATGGGTGGGAGGGAATTATAAGGCATGGAAAGAAAACTAGTTGAGGAGACAACTGTTCTGAGATGTCTTCTAAGCTCTGAAAAATATGAAGAATTCTCTGAGTTGCATGTATTGGGTCAGATATAAAATTTCTTCTTTTAAAAGCTGTATTTTAACTCACTAACAGTAGCACAAGATAAATGATAATTAGTAGGCAGGTTGGCTTGTACCAGAGCCCAGAATACAAGCTTTTTTTTTAAAAACAAATAATATGAAGGATAAGATGGTATCAGGCCAATAAAAGTTAGAAAAGAAAACCTAAAATTCAATAGTACAAAACAGCAGTTCTCCATCTTAATGAGATATAAGTCAATGCACACATGTTGGCACAAAGTAACTTGCTACTCCTCTGCTATCAGATTTTATTTTAGGTCTGTAATACAGGAAAGAAAAGTTTTTTTAAACTTATAATTTTGATATTCAAAACTTCTCTAAAAGAAACCAATTTCTTCTTACCTGTATAAATCACAGTGAGGGAAGTGGTAGATTACACATTACAAATAGATGCTAGGGTTCACATGTTATTACAGAACTACTAATCCTAGGCTCCTTTGCTTAATGATATTAACCAAAGCCACTCTCCATCATATTTGAAAAATTATGGGAGTCAGGCGATGTTCCCAGTGGCTGAAAAAAAGTGTAATATAACTCCCATTTTCAAGAAGGGGAAAATGGATGACCCAAAGAACTACAGACCAGTCAGTCTCACCTCTGTGTCTGGCAAAATCTTGGAGCAGATTCTCCTGGAAGGCATGCTAAGGCACATGAAAATCAACAAGGTGCTTGGTGACAGCCAGCATGGCTTCACTAAGGGGAAATCCTGCATGACCAATTTGGTGGCCTTCTATGATGGGGCTACAGAACTGATGGACAGGGGTAGAGCAGTTGATGTCATCTACCTGGACTTGTGTGAAGCATTCAACACAGTCCTGCATGACATCCTTGTCTCTAAATTTGATAGATGGACCACTTGGTGGATAAAGAACTGGCTGGATGGCCTCATGCAAAAAGTTGTGGTCAATGGCTCAATGTCCAGCTGGAGACCAGTAACGAGTGGTGTCCCTCAGGGATCAGTGTTGGGACCGGTCTTGTTCAACATCTTTGTCAGTGACATGGAGAGTGGGATTGAGTGCACCCTCCACAACTTTGCTGATGACACCAAGCTGTGTGGTTTGGTTGATAGGCTGGAGGGAAGGAATGCCATCCAGAGGGACCTTGACACGCTTGTGAGGTGAGCTGATGCCAACCTCATGAGGTTTAACCATGTCAAGTGCAAGGTCCTACACCTGGGTTGGAGCAATCCCAGGCACAGCTACAGGTTGGGCAGAGAAGAGATTCAGAGCAGCCCTGCAGAGAAGGACATGGGGGTGTTGGTCAATGAGAAAATGAACATGAGCCGGCTTCAGTGTGCACTTGCAGCCCAGAAAGCCAACCGTATTCGGGGCTGCATCAAAAGGAGTGTGACCCGCAGGTCGAAGGAGGTGATCCTGCCCCTCTACTCTGCTCTTGTGAGACCTCACTTGGAGCATTGTGTGCAGTTCTGGTGTCCTCAACATAAAAAGGACATGGAACTGTTGGAACAAGTCCAGAGGAGGGCCACGAGGATGATCAGGGAACTGGAGCACCTCCCGCATGAAGACAGGCTGAGGAAGTTGGGGCTGTTCAGCCTGGAGAAGAGAAGGCTGCTTGGAGACCTCATAGCAGCCTTCCTTTATCTGAAGGGGAGCTATAAAGACACTGGGGAGGGACTGTACTGATAGGACAAGGGGTAGAGGGTTCAAACTTAAACAGTTTAGATTGGATATAAGGAAGAAGTTCTTTATGGTGAGGGTGGTGAGGCATTGGAATGGGTTGCCCAAGGAAATTGTGAATGCTCCACCCCTGTTGGTGTTGAAGGCCAGTTTGGACAGAGCCTTGGGTGAGATGGTCTAGTGTGAGGTGTCCCTGCCCATGGCAGGAGGGTTGGAACTAGATGATCTTACAGTCCTTTCCAGCCCTAACTATTCTATGATTCTATATCATCTGGACTTGGCAATGGTTAAGAACAAAGTAATATTCTCTTCCTCGTTCATTACCATATGGATAATAACCACATATTAGATTACGTTATAAGCAATATGCTCAAACTTGCCAGGTATACAAAAAAGCATAGAAAAGCTTTTTGAATGTAAATAAGGTGTAAAAGAAAGGTCTGTTTAACAAAAAATTACTTTATTCATAAGTTCTGACATTTTCTGTTGAAAGAAAGAAAAAACAACCTCCTGCTCATAAAATGAAAAAAAGAAAAAAATGTGAAGAAGGCTTGATATCTGATCAAGGAAAATAAGACAGGAGCAGATGTCCTTCTTTATCATTTATAATATCTTATTCCTTATTTTTCATCTTAGGGCAGTACAGAAGGATATTGCTCTCTGGAAAATTTTGTTAGCTCATGGTAAGTACTGGACCTGCAGATTCACTGGTATTGCTTTGGATTTATGTCTTAGTGTTTTTCTCAAATGAGTCCAGATTGATGTAGTAGTTTGTATCTCATTTTCTCTACTTATTATGCAAATTATTATTAGATCTCCTAAAACAGAGGAGGGAGAAAGTCCTGAGAGCTGCGCATGGCCACAGCTTCTTGATAAACTGTTCACTTGGTATGTAAGCTTTTAGGACATTCACCTCACTTTGTCTGCAGTTTTCAAAGAGGCAATATCATGGTATGGTGCCAAGGGATAAAAAAACACCACCAAAATGTGAGACTTTAAACAACAGAAAAAGACCGCCCACAGTTGGAAAGTTCTGGGAAACAGTTGAAACCCTTTAGCTGGTGGTGATATTTAAAAGGGTGTTCAGTTATCTTTTAGACTCTTATTTTGTGTCCATTAGTTACAGCAGCAGTGTTTTCATGATCTGGACCCTGTATTGTCACTCTCCATCAGACTCTTTAAACTACAAACTGCTAGAGTTTGTAAGAATTAAAAAATCAAAAGATTCTCTAAATGGAGTAGTGTATTAGATTATTTGTGGTGGCTTGGCAGGTGGCAGCAAATTAGCTATTGATGGGGGATTTAAAGACTTAAGTTTTCTGTGGGGCAGATGAGAAACAAGGCTAAGAAGATCTACCATGTTTGAAGAAGATTATTGCATTATTTAAGACTTTTCTGGTATTGCTGTAAAAAAATTATATTTGACAAGGACTCACTGGCTGTAGTGATATTTTAACTGGAAAGGAACACTATAACATGTCTTTCATAGAAAATACACATCAAGCTTTGGCATCTGTCATTTCTGTATGCAATATTTATATTGCATATGTCATTATAGCATCTATGTACTGTTCAAGAATTGAAATACAACTTATTTCTAAACCAGGAACATTCTGACACCACAGACCATCAGTTTACCATATCAACAAAGCCAGATGACAAAACAAAGTTATTGGAATCTATATAATCAAGTCCATGCATCATAATGAAAATCCTTAAAATGGATTTTATAGATATTAAGAACTTGTGTAGTGGTAGAAGTCCGGTATAATGTACTTGCTTGCTGCTTCTTCTGAAGAGTTAAAACAGAATTTAAAAATGGAAATGTTTTGAGATTTATAAATACTCTCAGCTAACAAGCAAACAGTATTATATCTTGCATTTCTCCTGTGCTTCCTGGATTTTACTACGCATCTCCCAGTTTTCATCCAACCCCATCTCTCTGATATGCTCACTGGTACCCTCAGTGGCCAGAAATTTATAAGGAGCTATACTGCAAACCACATAACTTAGTTTCAAAACTTTACATGTGCATTTTCTGAACTAAGAGTTGTGATAGCACTGAACCCTGAAAGATCTCATTTGTTTTTGGAATGACGTGCTTAGGGTACAAAAGTTGACTATCATTAATTTTTAGGACTATTTTGAAAGGAATGATTGATGGCAAGCTCAACATCAGCCAGAAAATATTATGTATGCCAAGTTCAGCAATATCCCACATGGATGTCTGGTTTTTTGCTCCAAGGTCACACTGGTAGCCAGTCTGCTCCAGATGATGGACAGAGTCGAGCTACCAAACCATAACAGTATCAGACAAAAGTCTGAAGCCACCCTGAAAAGGGCAAAGATTTTCTCTAGAAGCTTATTTTCTCTAGAAGCAACATATTGTTGTTAAGAGGCCAATATTATCACCCAAGGAGTTCAAATAATAAAAAGTTTATAGAGTTAGGTGGGTTGAGAGCAGGAAAATCTTTTGCATGTCTTAAGAATGTGAGTACTCTGACAGGGTTCTGGAAAGCCAAGGTGCAGAGA